AAAAAGTACATCCCCTTCAGGAGCTGAACATAATTTTCTCCCAAACTGTTAAATAAGACAATCCTTTCTTGATCCCTTACGAAAACGCCCTATTAAATGGATGGGTGGTCCTCAATGGCGGGAAAGAGTGGTATATGTCAGCTCCTATAGCGATTTTAAGAAAACATTCTAACCTTTTGGGAATACCGATTTCGAGGGGAGATATGTGTTTTCCATAATTTCAGGCCAGAAACATGGCCCACACTAAGGCTGATTGAGGTGTGTTCAATAAGATCGCTGTTAAGGCATTTTGGTAGCTGCTTATGATGCGAAATTCATTTATTTTAAAAAAGTATTTAGTTACGTTCATAAATGCGAATTATTCCCCTGAATTGAGGGTGGGCGGTATCGGTGTTAGAGGATGGTTGTTCATTGCTTTCAAAAAAAAAAAACTTACGACTTCTCCTCTCATGCCGCCTTCTTGAAGAGCTTCCAATAGTTTGGGGCTCTTATGACCCAAGAAGGGAACGTTTTGACCCATAATGGGGCACTGATGTGCAACGAGACGCTCAGTTAAGGGGAACCCGTACAGCCGGGGCTTCACCTCCAATGATCAACTACCGTTTTCAACTGGAATGAGGCCCTGTTCCTATTTCGGCTTGTGACAGCATCCGCTTATTCGCTCAAACTCTTTTCTATCGACTGCCTTCTGACGATTATTCAATGTTGAATAATTTATAAATGCACTAAGTGAGTTCTCGAAATGACCGTTGCATAAGAAACCATGAATCTTCAATTCTTCAAATTTCAAAGTTGTCTACCGTCCATAATTCCTTGGTGCAAGACTGGATTCATAAGAAAAGTACTTGGAGAAAAGTACTTTTTTGGTTGCAAGTCCACTATTTAGCATCATGCAGAAACTACTACATTTAACTGATAATTCAATGTCTGGTTAGATCGTATTTCTATGAAAACTACAGACGCTTCACGAAGTTGCCCTCGGGAGGCCAATCACTTTTAGGATTTTTTTTCGAAAATCTAATCGCTTTTCGGATGTGAAGGGAGTACACCGACCCTTGTTCAGACCCGTCCTCTCGACTATATGCAAAAAAGTGAAATATCGAGTTAGGAGTACTTGCTGACGATCGATATCGCATGGGAATCTTTCGCATGAGGACCTTCTATAAATGATGTACTTTAACGAGAATAGATAAATTCGCTGAATTTATTAACCTTCAAAATTTCGGACGAGGGATGTTCAGAATTCGACAAGTCGTTCAGGATCGATCAATAAAAAATGAGTAATGAATAATGGATAATGAGCCCATCATCTTCCACTCTTACTGACACCAGAAGGAGAGACGATTGCGTATTGCAATGAACAAATAATCTGCCGTAGAACAGAGGTATTTTATTATTATTCATTATAATAGTTATTTTATATTTTATAAACACTTCATTGTTTAGATTTCATACGTTTGCTTTGTGAAAATTCAAACGAACAAAAAGGCTTTCCGGCTTTCAGTCATTTAAATTGCAAGCAGAAAGTCAGTATAACAGTTCCAAGCCCGGCATAACAGGCCTACCCTCATCCCTTGATACATAAACTTTTTGGAAGAGTACTGTAAACCAACAAGTACCAAAAGTTTACCAGTTAACGTGATGACGTTCAGCGTTGAGGTTTTTTTATGAGGAGCTGATCTGCACGTATAATGGCTTGCTAGTTTGTAGTACAGAAATATTTAATAGTGTAAACTTTACCAATAAAAAATGGAAGCGAAGTACTGCAATTTGTGAACTTTTCGGAATTCGTTATGCAAAGGCATTAAAGAGCGGGAGTCTTTTTTTTGAGTTCAATACCCAGTGTTTCATGATTATTTCGAAGTACACAGCTGTATTACAGCTATCAAATCGGCAGAGAATGCTCCTTCGATATCTTACGAAAAACGTAATGTTTCTCGAAGGTGATCGGTTCTGGAACACTGGGGACCATCTAATCGAAGAAGGATTCAGATGAAAATTAGTTAAGGGGGAGGGGATGGGCGAGGAGAAGCCGGCACTCTTCTTACCCCACAACGAGCGTTACAGTGCAGAGAGGAAGGGGTAGCTGACTTACTCGTGCTTCGTTCTTGAGGTTCTTAGTCAATAGAGTATAGTTCTTAACTAAGCCTCAGAAGGGGAGGAGCACTGTGGTGGGTGAGAAGAGTTTCTTTTGCAAAAGTTGGGATCAGATAAGAATTGGACATTCAATCGAATCACCCGCCCCGGTGCTCTTATCCCCATGAGGCTTCCAAAAACTAAATTTCTCGGATACGAAATGTTCCTAAGCACCATTATGGGCTCGCGAGATCGGCTATCCTTCCTTCTCTGCGCTCTAGCGCTCAGTTTCAGAAAGGAGTGATGTCGCCTCAGTTTTTTTTGTTTCCCATTCTTACTCTTTTTATTTACTTCCATTCAGGAAACACTTTCATACGCTCAGCATGGCCTCAGATCAATAGGCAGATATCGCTCGCTCGGCTCTGTGCACTTTGGACTTCGGACTCGGCAGGGACATGTGGGTCCGAAAACAAAATGACCGTACCACCCTTCACGAGTGAATGAGAACTATTTACAGCTGCGATAGGATTGAAGAAGCAAAAGGCTAACACGAGCCAAAGCAACATCATGGGCTCATTACAAACATCGGTTCAAACAGCTTTCGATTTTCAGAGAAGGTCAACTTGGAAAAATGTAAGAGATAAATCAGAACCTTCAAAAAAAAAACACTACCTAATGATTTTCTTAAGAAAAATTCGTGCGCCCAAGCTAAGTTTCTTGAGGTTCCATGGAAGTTATGGGTAGCCATTACGGTTCAATTTACTACTAATCAAATGATGATACACGGAGAAGAGCCTAATATATCGAATCTCTTCAGGATGGTCACACAAGTGGATAGAATGGCTTTTAGAATATGAAAGTCAGCAGCAGAATAAAATTCAAGAAAAAAATCAAGCATATTCACACCGGGGGCGGGTGTTAGCGAACCGATGCGAGGCTCTGAAGTGTCCTGATCAAGTTTCGATCCACAGATCATATAGACCGATCATAATGAGTGACGACCAAGGTTTTTTTCCATAGAGCTTCCTAAAAAGATAAAATTCAGAAATAAACGGCCCATGTAAGCCATTTTACAGGTATTTCCACGGTTTTGAACCCTTTCACGCAAATCGAACTCGGCTGACCCTCGAACGAGCCAAATAACCCTCATTCTTTCGCTGAATCTCTGTAGCGCCCCAGTTTCATTGGGGTTAGGTAGAATAAAATAAGTTCCTAGCTTGCGAAAACTTGCATAGTAATACCTAGATTCGCACAAACACCGCAAGGAGTAGAATGAAAGTACATTTGCTTCAGGAACTACACCAGCGTTCAGACAGCAAAATTAGGCCTTCAAGATCTGCGGGGAAAGGGTGACGGGTAAAAAAATCGGGTTGTAAAGTAAAATGAAGTGTTAGTCCAGCCCTTTTGAGGTGATAAAATAAAATATGATAAAATAGCATCCGTACAGAGAGGCGCGATTACTTTTAAATGTGTATTCAGTCTACAGTATGCCCCACTTGGTTACAAACTGACAACGAATCTGACGTGATGGACGCTAGATTAACCCTAAATATGTCTCAAAAAGTGTGGAGAGTAAAAGTCTTTTCGATTTTCCTATGATGTTGTTCATATGGGGAGAGGTGATTAATTTTGGACCTTTATGGGAGGTGTTTTGACCGGAGCGTTTCGCTTTTGCCGTCATTGAAAAGTGTATCCTTGGCCAGGTTGTTCCTGTACGCGATCCAGAAAACACGACCCTCATACTCTCGCAGCTTCCTTCACCTCGTTCAACGACTGCTTTGGATTGCTTTATTGATGTTTGTTGTCTCAGAGCTGGAGTCTGTTTTGGATGAGCAAAATCTGGTAGCTATATCGAGTAGATGTGAGGCTACGGGTTGTTTGCCCTTGTTCAAGGTGAGACCGCCGCCGTGCTCGGCCGCTAGCACTTCGAGTGGATGTTCGCAAGCTGTCCACTTTGTGCGGACGGACGATATCTCTGACCGAATCCCCTCGCTCTGACCTCCTCCCCACTCCCCTATCTTTCGTCTCGTTTTCCATTTGGGTTCACTGATGATTCATCATCTACCTGAAGTCGCTTTCAGATGTTAACGTTCATGGGCTACTGTCTCCACGAATCCCGCTTAACTTCGCTCCCACTAGGCTTCCGAAGGGGCGGATCTACCTCGTCTGTTATCCGTATTTTTGAGAACGAGTCTAACTGAGGTCATGAGTAATGACGTAGCCAGTTACTGATTAGACTGTTCTACCGTAATTTGGTGCATGGATTCACAGCGGTTGAAATGTATACGTTGAATTACAGTATGTTTTGTACTGTCAAGCTAACAATTTGAACTAATTGCTGCCTAGCTCGCTTGTAAACCCCTAAAATCTATCAAGTGGGACAGCACGTTCAATTCAGACACTTGTGAGCCCATGCGATAACTTATTCTGGGCCATTCCTTCAGTGAATGTAGTTCCCTCCCTTTTCACACATTTGTAGCTTCTTCTTCTCATTGTCACCAGAACGTCAATCTCAGTAATTAGATAGAACCAACCATATACCTTTCAGTGTATACCAGCTAAGGCTCAAAAGGTATCCCTCATGGTGGTGAGCCTTTTCAGGCCTCGAGGTCCACATCCATCTAGCTCTCGTCATCGGTTTTTGTAACCTTGCGAAAACTTTTGTCGAAGAGCGATTTCAACGATAGCCGGTTGCGTTTGCAAATAGCCCGAAATAAGGGTCCTTTGGTCCGATTTTGCTAGCCTTGAGATAAGCACTAAGACGATATACACATGGATGTTGGCAAAGCATCGATTTCCTGATAATTTTATCAAATTTATTTCGATTGGCTTAGGACTGCACGCTTCATAAAAAACTTTGTTGTTACTTCTGAGTTTTAGAGTTATCAGCACGATATACTTTGACGCCTATCATCGATGCTGTTATGCTCTCACTTCTTTCTCTCATCATAGCGTCTGGAACAGTTCTACGAGCCGACACCGAGGTAACCATCAAGGCTATCAAGTAAAACTACTAGCAATTTCTGACTAGTACTTTTCGATGTCATTGAATGTATCACTATTACTACATTTACAAGATTTGACTCTTTTTCTTCCTGCTCAACTTTCGGATGCAGCAAAATCATCAGTAAAAATTGAATGGACAGCATCTAGACCTGAACCAGTTCCTTAAAAAAAAAGGCTGAAGTTGATTGTGGATTCCAGATGAACCCACTTTGATGGGTTCAATGGAGAGGATGTGGAGACTACTCTCAGAGTAACTGTACTTGGCAAGTGAAGTGACTCGTAACTTGCTCAGACAGGCCCAATGCACCTGTTTATAAATGATTTCAAGGATTCGACCGGTGCGTACCAATTATGCCACTATGCTAGTCGAAAAAACCTCCTATCAAAAACTATTCTCAGAAAAGGACCGAGTGGGCTTTTTTGCTCTCTCAACGCACGAAACTTCACTTTAAAGTAGAATGGTTCATTTTCAAAAGATTTCGGATAGTATTTCCGTTATGATACTATTTAGCAATGGGAGCCAACCTCATATCCCGATCCTCGGACCAACGCATCCCAGTGCAATACCGTAGAGGATTCCACGTTATGCGATCCGGATCGAATTCTTACTGATACTTGGCGTCAGACAATCAACGACAACATCATGAAGCAGACAGCACGTAAGAATGATGTTTGAATTTTATTCTGAATATTAGTAGTTTATTCAATACAGTTCGTTTCATTCCTTTGTAAAACCTCTGGATCGGAGATGGCGTAATGCTGAATCATACATTTGACCGAGAAATCGGATTGAAACCTACCCAACTTAATCTTACATCCCTACTGTTGGCTGTTGGTTTTCTGACCGTACTGGTCTTGGAGGGAAAAGACACTGCCTGTATAGGCTAGCCACTGCAAGTGCAAGCCGCATGAGCATTCAAAATACTCCTACGATTCTTAGTGGAAGTCGAATGCGGGGTGCATCCCATGAATGAGCTTGATTAACGCTGAGGGCTTTGTTCTTATCCTTTTATATAATCACTGCCTCTCTCTTCGATATGCAGAACATCTGGTGTTCACTGTAAGGGGTGAAAACTTGTTAAAGCATGCCAAGTCCTAGAACTGAGTAGCGATGTGGTCCGCTTTGAAATATGTGGAAAAGACTCCTTCTACAGGAGGACTTCCTGATCTGTTAACTGAAGTAACTACTGGTTTTTAGCGGGACGATTCATGGTAAGCTAAAAAGTTAAGTATATCTTCAGAATTTTTGTTTGGAACTACAAGTTCATTGTTCACCATTCAAATGTGATTTGATGGTGGGTGGTTTCCAGCGAAACTGACTTGATGGATGATGATGATGTTTTCGAATAATACTACTGTCAGCAGTCAATTTCAGGGCTTCAGAACGTTGATGTCCAATACACTGCAGAAGCCTCAGGGAATTGTTGTGGGAACAATGTGACTGATGTGCGAATATTTGTGATTTTGGCAAGAAGAATCAACACAACGTCTAATCAAAATATCACCAGCAAAGATTTGGTAAAATTATTCATTCACCCAGGGCCTGTATGCACAACTGTTAGCCAAAGGTTACGGTAAGCTTTGAATAGCTCAGGGAAAAAGCCTGTTAATTGGAGTTAAACGATTTAGAACCAGAATTAATGAGGTTCTCGAGGTAGGCTACAGCACTCGGGTTCGGTGGAGAGTAAACTGCCCTTCATACTTCTGAAAAGCTTCACCTATCGGTCTACCAAGTGCCTGAGCATAACCCAAGTCAGACTAGAACTGTCGTGTAGGCTGCTCCCAAGAAATTGTGCACATAGCCCTATTTCAAAGAGCCTTTCGTAAGAGTTCTCGAAGATTTCTAATGCTCTCAGACCACTTTCGGCCATGGCCTACGTGAAGCATACGGACTTGATGCTCAACCTTGTAAAAATTATATCCTGATTCTTGGCGTTGAACTGGCAAAGGAACTTTACGTTTGGGTACGTTGAAGGCATTTTTCCATAACAGGACAATTTAGAGATTTTTCCTCATCTCAGTATTCGCAAAACTAAATTCAGACAGGCTCTGACCTGGCCTTCCCGAAGGAACGTATGGATACGTCGTTGAGCCAGTACAAAAACATGTTCCTGGAAAGGAACTACATGGAAGGGTTAAACAAAATCGTCGAGGAAATCGGCAATATCCTTGTCGATCCTTTCAAGGTGTCTGCCTTTTATTCGCTGGGTGTTTCGCTACTTTTATTTCATTTTTCCGTCCCTCCGTTTATACTTCGTTTTTTGCTGCAGCCTGCTCAGCAAAGGGGATTCAGTGGGTGACACCAGTCCAGAACTGTTATCACGTTGAATGAATGGATTTGATTGTGGAAGATGAGCATTAATTCGCTCTTAAACGTGGAATCTAACGCTGAAATTACAGTAACCGACCTCAAATGATAAACTATTTTCATATCTGTCGTTGAATTACTCGTTGTAGAAATGAATTGTCTGATCTCAAAGCAAATTGTAACAGCCTTGAAATCATTCAGTATTAGGAATTAATTTCGAAGCTGTATAATACGCTTCGAAATTAGACGATACAATAAATCCACTTTGACTTTCTGGGTATACTCACCGTTAGGCTTCGATTCTCCGTAGCTCAAAGCCTAAATAAGGTGGATACATCCTATACGGATGAATCAAAATTGAGTTTGAAGAAAAGTAATTTTTGTTTTTTCTTTCAGGACTCCTCTACAGTAACCAGTATGAACAATGCAACGATGGACTCGGATACGGAAATGTCCCCCGAGAACACGACTGTCTCTCTGGAACAGAATTCATCGATACCGATGTAGGTCCTCGTCAGTACGTTCAGAATTTGTTCGTGGATCTTTCTGATGCAAATTTTTCTTTCAGTTGGATTTATGTTATCATGATAACGTCAACCACTGTCGCCGTCGTTTCTCTTTTGATTTTATTTGCTGTACTGTGGAAAAAATACGAAATTCGTGACATACTGCGTGATATATATCCAAACAATAATCAGGAGAAGCCAACATACTTGTAAGTTTTGAAACAATTCTTTTTTTTTCGTTCTAAGTTGTTCCTGTTGTTTTTTGTTTGTTATCTTTGATTTGCTTTTAGCTATCATGAATGCCATCTTCACTTTTATTTCTCAGCTCCATCATTTTATTTTCCTTTCTGATTGTTTGCTCCTATAAAAAAGGTCCTGTATTGTAGCCGTTTATGTGGGAGGTTACGGGGCGGGTGAGATTGTCCGGGGGAGGAGCATTCAATATGGGCGTTTTTTTGTGCTGAATAAGCAGACACGATATTAAGGTTTTCTTTGTGAAGGGCTTAACAAAGCGTATAAAATACAAAATTCTAGGTCACTGGGCCCATATTAGTGTCCTACGTGGAGTGCTTCAAAAATGCTGCTTCAAATGGCACCTCTACCAGTACTTTTACAGTTGACTCCGCTTCACATACTTATATCAATTTTTAGTTTACTATCTATTTCATGCAGGAGTTTCAGAGCCGCGGAAGATGTTGCAGCTACGAAGCCCGATCCTGTAAAAAGTGAGCTTCATAATGTCAGCTCAATTCAAGAACTCAAAGAAATGCCACAAGAAGAGAGTTCCGAAGATAATGCAAGTGGTCCCCCTTCAGGAACCCTGACTCGCAAGAGATAGTGAGTTGGTAACCCGACTGCTACTGACTTACAATCGTGATTTCAGTCGAGGCTACAAAGTGGCAAAGCCATGAAATAGCTCATAGAAGCCTTTTTCAGTTCCGTGAGTGAAATATCGTTGCCTCGTACGGTGTCACTCAGCGGGTCGAATCGTCTGGCATTCCTTCAGTCAGCAGATGCCTATCGGCTTCGAACAAAGGATGCACATTTCCCTATTTCCCCATCGGATGGAAGTTTTGTCTAAAAATGAAGTGCTCCCTGTAATTTTTCTTCTGTCATATTCGTGATACGGTGCCGAAGGCGCATTCTGTGAAAATAATGTATAAAGTTCTGACAGTATTGTTCACGTGTCAAGTACATCTAAGTTGGTGTTGTTTATTAATGCCTGTTTATATTGAGTTATGGTCACAGGCTTTCTTTGCAATGCAGATCAAACCGTTGGAAGTAGCCCCACCCTGCACCCATAGCTTAGAGAACGATTCGTAGGTATCACCTCACTGAAGCAGATCGATTTAATTTTCTAGGAACAGTGAATCCAAATATGTGTCGTCCTGAAAGTCGCAACAGCTGCTTACACTGGTCGATTTGCTTCGGCCAAGTGTTTTATGAGTCAAGTTGCATTTCCGAGTCTCTTATATCTATTCCAACAGGAATGGTCTGACAAAAGGAGCCAAACTATTAGCAGACCATCCTTGACTTTGACAATTTTTTACGAGTTGCCTGAGCCTTACAGGACCCTCTTCGGAATGCTTCTTCTTCTCTTGTTTCTTAAGAATGCTGGCGTCCAAATTTTCTGTGGAGGCATTAACAGTAGGATCATCTCGGTCAGTGATCTCCAACACGACGAGCAAGACTTTCCCGAAGGCTGTCAAGATTGAAACTCGAAGCTTTCAAAGCACATTTCAGCCTTGTGAATTTAACTGCCATGATAAATGCGACAACAATCCTGGCTGCCGGCTCTTTAGAACTTCACAAATAGAACGGTAAAGGTAAGTATGTAGTTCAATCGTCGTTGATCAAGGTGGGATGTAGGTGGGCTCTTCCCACATGCGTTGTCCCTCAGCTACCAAAATTCACCTTTCGTCATTCTCTTCGGTTCCATTCATGAAGCTGCAACT